CGAAGGAAAAGCAGTCCTGCACACAACTTCACCAAACTAGGGAAATCTATAGAGCAGTGGTTCTCAACCTTAGAATCATAGAATCAAAGAGTTGGAAGAGACCTCCTGGGCCATCCAGTCCAACCCCATTCTGCCAAGAAGCAGGAATATTGCACTTCAAAGCACCCCTGGCAGATGGCCATCCAGCCTCTCATAGAGTCATAGAATCCTAGAGTGGGAAGAGACCTCCTGGGCCATCCTCCAGTCCAACCCCATTCGGCCAAGAAGCAGGAATATTGCATTCAAAGCACCCCTGGCAGATGGCCATCCAGCCTCTGTTTAAAAGCTTCCAAAGAAGGAGCCTCCACCACACTCCGGGGCAGAGAGTTCCACTGCTGAACGGCTCTCACAGTCAGGAAGTTCTTCCTCATGTTCAGATGGAATCTCCTCTCTTGTATTTTGAAGCCATTGTTTCGTGTTCAGATGGAATCTCCTCTGTTGTAGTTTGAAGCCATTGTTCCGCGTCCTAGTCTCCAAGGAAGCAGAAAACAAGCTTGCTCCCTCCTCCCTGTGGCTTCCTCTCACATATTTATACATGGCTATCATATCTCCTCTCAGCCTTCTCTTCTTCGGGCTAAACATGCCCAGCTCCTTAAGCCACTCCTCATAGGGCTTGTTCTCCAGACCCTTGATCATTTTAGTCGCCCTCCTCTGGACACATTCCAGCTTGTCAATATCTCTCTTGAATTGTGGTGCCCAGAATTGGACACAATATTCCAGGTGTGGTCTAACCAGAGCAGAATAGAGCATGGGGAGCATGACTTCCCTAGATCTACACACTATGCTCCTCTTGATGCAGGCCAAAATCCCATTGGATTTTTTTGCCGCCACATCACATTGTTGGCTCATGTTTAACTTGCTGTCCACGAGGACTCCAAGATCTTTTTCACACGTACTGCTCTCAAGCCAGGCATTGTTTCTCAACCTTCCTCATGCCGTGACCCCTTAAGACAGTTCCTCATGTTGTGTTGACCCCCAACCATCACATTATTTTTGTAGCTACTTCATAACTGTAATTTTGCTACTGCTACTGTTATGAATTGTAATGCAAATATCTGATAAGCAGGATGTATTTTCTTCACTGGACCAAATTTGGCACAAATTTGAATACAGGTTGGGTTGGAAAGGGATTGATGTTGTCATTTGGGAGTTGTAGTTGCTGGGATATATAGTTCGCCTACAATCAAAGAGCTTTATGAACTCCACCAACAATGGAATTGAACCAAACTTGGCACACACAACTCCCATGATGAAGAGAAAATACTGGAAGGGTTTGGTGGGCATTGACCTTGAGTTTGGGAATTGTAGTTCACCTAAATCCAGGGAGCACTGTGGACAATGATCAATCTGGACCAAACTTGGCACGAACACTCAATATGTCCAAATGCGGACTCTGGTGGAGTTTGGGGAAAATAGACCTTGACATTTGGGAGTTGTAGTTGCTGGGATTTATAGTTCGCCTACAATCAAAGAGCATTCTGAACCCTACCAATGATAGAATTAGGCCAAACTTCCCACACAGAACCCCCATGATCAACAAAACTTTCAAAATTTCATTATTATTTCATTCTTGGCAATTTTAATGACAGAACCAATTAGGAACTGCCATTTATAACGAAATTTTGAAAGTTTTGTTAGAGTTCTGAAATTTTTACCACCACAACGTTAGCAACGCTATAGAAGGAAAGCACCAGCGCCCCCTAATTTTCCCTACCAGAACATTAGTTTTGTAAGCACTTTAGAACCATTTAGAACCATGGATTGCCCTTGCCTAGTAAACACAGTACAACAGATTCCTGTAAGTGTCTAGAACAGCCATAAGGAGATGTCCAGAAGACAAAGTCAGGCCCCCAACATTAGAGACTAAAGAGACTCCATTAGGGTCAGGACCCACAGTTTAAGAATCAGTGTATGGCAAAAGTATGATAGCTGGGACCCCAATGCTGGTTGTGCAACGTGGGTCCCGGCTATCATACTTTTGCCATACACTGCACAACGAGTGAGAGACGCTGGTGCGTGCTATAAACTATTGCTAACTGCCATTTACTCAAACGTAACTTAATTACATGTGGATGAAGCGTGCTATAAACTTAATGCTGTCTCATGCACGTCTTCGCTTCTCTAATTCTGACCCTCGTTGCGCAACCAGCATTGGGTCCCAGCAATCATACTTTTGCCCAGTTCATCAGACAATGTTCACGAGAGGAAGGAACTGGCAAAACCAATTCCGAAAACCTTTGCATGAAATAGTTTTAGACCCTGGGATGTGTAGTTTCACGGGTTCTTTGGCTGAGAGAGCTCCAAGGCAACAGGGATTGGGCCAATAAAGCTGCCCCCACCCCAAACTTTAACTCCTAGGATACTAAAGGCTGGACCCAGGGCCAAACTGCTTTAGTGGTGCATTTTGAATTGCTTTAGGTGGGAGAGAAGGAGAAAAGTACCACCAAGGCTCATCCCCATATTTCCAATTAAAGGCATGATGATGTTTGGGGGTGGGTGGGGGGGACAAGGGGGTCACTGCCCAATGTCATTTGGGGCGGGGGTCCTTCTAAAAGTCTAGAGCAGGTGGGCAGCTTCTACCCATGCCCACCGCCCCCCACTGTGAGCCCCCAGGCCTGATAATGACCCCCTGCCTTATGGGGTGTGCATCACTAATTGGTCACCAGTGGGGGGTTTGCCCCCAATAATGACTTGGGAAGTCTCACACCAGCTTCTCAGACCAAAGGGGGGTCTCCTTAGGAAAGTGGGGGCTTCATTGGAGGAAGGGGCACGGGCCAGTGGTGCCCCCCCCCCACTTCTGCTTGGGACCCCTAGCAGGATCCTGCATCTGTGGGTGTCCAAAGCGGAGGAAGGCAGGAAGGGAAAGCCATGGGTCCGACAGTGAGAAGCATTTCCTTTCCTGGCCCCTCCCCAAAGACAAGAAAGGGGCGCATTAACATTCCTGCACCTTGACAAGAGATGAAAGCCCCATAGATGGGTTTGCAGCTGGGGAGCAAAGGAGGACAAAGCCCCCAAGGACTTCAAAGGCTCCCAATAGCCCTGGCGGGAGGGGAGGGGGCAATGTTTACAATCCCAGGCGGACAAAGAGACCCCCCTGGATTGCCCCTGCCCCATCTCCGCCCCCCACCTGCAGGCCCGGCCTATGCTTGGCTTGCCCCCACCAGGTGCCCCCCATCTTGGTTGCCCATGAGAAATTTCACGCCTAGCCTGCTCCCCCCTTTTCCCACCCTCCAATGGGGTGTGTTCGTGCAGAAGATGGGTCTAGGCCCCCCTCCTCTGGGTCCGGCTCCAAGGGGGGGGGGTCCATAGAAATCTCCATTTGTCTTGAACCCCAACAGTCACTCTCTCTCAGCCACAGGGAGGAAATGGTGGCAAACCACTTTTAAGTAGAGGCTAGATGGCCATCTGTCGGGGTTGCATTAAATTCTGCTTTTTGGCAGAATGGGGTTGGACTGGATGGCCCTCCAGGTCTCTTCCAACTCTATGATTCTATCATTCTATCATTATTATTATTATTATTATTATTATTATTATTATTATGCTCAGCAGTGGAACTCTCTGCTCCAGAGTTCAGTGGAGACTCCTTCTTTGGAGGCTTGGAAGCAGAGGCTGGATGGCCATCTGTTAGGGTGCTTTAAATGTGATTTTCCTGCTTCTTGGCACAATGGGGTTGGACTGGATGGCCCACCAGGTCTCTTCCAACTCTAGGATTTTGTGATTCTATGATCAAAGAGACCTCAGTGTCCATTTTAAGCAGAGGCTGGATGGCCATCTGTCGGGGATGCTTTGATTGTGTATTCCTGCATGGCATTGAGTTGGATTGGGAGGCTCCCAACCCTATGGACCTCATTACACTAGAGAATGAATCCACTTTAAATATGGTTTCTGCCTCCTGCAGAATTCTGGAGTTTGTAGTTTTGGGAGGAGCCTTTAACAGCCTCACTAAACTACAAACCCCAGAATTCTGCAGGAGGCAGAAACCGGATTTAAAGTGGATTCATTCTCTAGTGTGATTTTTTTTTTCCCGTGTCAGGAGCGACTTGAGAAATTGCTTCTGGTGTGATGAGGTCCTGTGATCCTGTCATTCTGGTCTAATCCCATTCTGCCAGGCAGGAAAACACAATCAAAGCACTCCCGACAGATGGCCATGCAGCCTTTGCTTAAAAACCTCCAGAAAAGATGACACCATACGAGGATTTAAAGATCAAACTGCAAAGACTCTGGCACAAGCCAGTCAAGGGGGTCCCAGTGGTGATCGGCACACTGGGTGCAGTGCATAAAGACCTTGGCCTGCACTTAAGCACAATTGGCGCTGACAAGATTACCACCTGCCAGCTGCAAAAGGCCACCTTACTGGGTTCTGCACACATTATTCACTGATACATCACACTCCTAGACACTTGTGAAGTGTCAGATGTGTGATCCCATACAACAGCCAGCAGAGTGTCTGCTATGGACTCATCTTGTTGTGTTCCTAATAATAATAATAATAATAATAATAATAATAATAATAATAATAATAATAAAACAGTCAGCAGAGTGATCTTGTCTGCTGTTGACTTATCTTGTTGTGTTCCAAATAATAATAATAATAATAATAATAATAATAATAATAATAATAATAATAATAATAATAATGTTATATATGGCTGTGTGGAAGCACAGAGTTGGAAGGGTCCCCCAAAGGTCATCTAGCCTGACCCCAGTTCTGCCAAGCAAGGAGACACAATGAAGGCGTCTATGGGGCGGTCCTGCTCTCCTCCATGGAAGGCATCCCTAAAAGCATCCCTATGAGCGAGGAGGAGGGCTCTTTGTGGCTAAGGCGGGGCGGGGGGCCAAGGAAGCGACCCCAATGGGGCCCCGCCCTCGCCCCTGCCCCTGCCCCTGCCCCTCCTCGGGGCCATAAAGGAAGGCAGCCCCTGCCAGCCCCTGCCCGACTTCGCCCGACTTTCCCCGACGCCATGCCCGCCTCCCGGACTTTCCTCGCCGCCCCCGAGTTGGGTCAGAGTGGGGTCTTGGGGTCTCCCCATAGTCCCCCTCCCTGCAAAGCCAAGCGCCGCTTCGACATCGAGTCCTTGCTGTCGGAGCCCGACCCGCCCCGACGGGGAGGAGGAGGAGGGATGCCTTGGCCCGCCTGGCCCTTGGCCTGCCCTCCCGGAGAAGCCGGACTGCCCTTCGCCGGACTCTTCCTGGCCCCCGGCCCCGGAGACACCCTCCGCCCCAACGCCCTGCCCGCCTGCCTCAGCACAGGTGAGTCAGACCACAGGTGAGCCCACAGCTCAGTCCAGAGAAGCTTGCTGGCTCTAGGGCAGGCCTGCGCCCATTTCGCCCTCCCTCCAGGTGTTTTGGACTCCAACTCCCACCATTCCAAACAGCCGGTAGGGCCCTCCCTCCAGGTGTTTTGGACTCCAACTCCCACCATTCCCAACAGCCGGTAGGGCCCTCCCTCCAGGTGTTTTGGACTCCAGCTCCCACCATTCCCAACAGCCAGTAGGGCCCTCCCTCCAGGTGTTTTGGACTCCAGCTCCCACCATTCCCAACAGCCAGTAGGGCCCTCCCTCCAGGTGTTTTGGACTCCAGCTCCCACCATTCCCAACAGCCAGTAGGGCCCTCCCTCCAGGTGTTTTGGACTCCAGCTCCCACCATTCCCAACAGCCAGTAGGGCCCTCCCTCCAGGTGTTTTGGACTCCAGCTCCCACCATTCCCAACAGCCAGTAGGGCCCTCCCTCCAGGTGTTTTGGACTCCAGCTCCCACCATTCCCAACAGCCAGTAGGGCCCTCCCTCCAGGTGTTTTGGACTCCAGCTCCCACCATTCCCAACAGCCAGTAGGGCCCTCCCTCCAGGTGTTTTGGACTCCAGCTCCCACCATTCCCAACAGCCAGTAGGGCCCTCCCTCCAGGTGTTTTGGACTCCAGCTCCCACCATTCCCAACAGCCAGTAGGGCCCTCCCTCCAGGTGTTTTGGACTCCAGCTCCCACCATTCCCAACAGCCAGTAGGGCCCTCCCTCCAGGTGTTTTGGACTCCAGCTCCCACCATTCCCAACAGCCAGTAGGGCCCTCCCTCCAGGTGTTTTGGACTCCAGCTCCCACCATTCCTAACAGCCGGTAGGGCCCTCCCTCCAGGTGTTTTGGACTCCAGCTCCCACCATTCCCAACAGCCAGTAGGGCCCTCCCTCCAGGTGTTTTGGACTCCAGCCCCCACCATTCCCAACAGCCAGTAGGGCCCTCCCTCCAGGTGTTTTGGACTCCAGCTCCCACCATTCCCAACAGCCAGTAGGGCCCTCCCTCCAGGTGTTTTGGACTCCAGCTCCCACCATTCCCAACAGCCGGTAGGGCCCTCCCTCCAGGTGTTTTGGACTCCAGCTCCCACCATTCCCAACAGCCAGTAGGGCCCTCCCTCCAGGTGTTTTGGACTCCAGCTCCCACCATTCCCAACAGCCAGTAGGGCCCTCCCTCCAGGTGTTTTGGACTCCAGCTCCCACCATTCCCAACAGCCAGTAGGGCCCTCCCTCCAGGTGTTTTGGACTCCAGCTCCCACCATTCCCAACAGCCAGTAGGGCCCTCCCTCCAGGTGTTTTGGACTCCAGCTCCCACCATTCCCAACAGCCAGTAGGGCCCTCCCTCCAGGTGTTTTGGACTCCAGCTCCCACCATTCCCAACAGCCAGTAGGGCCCTCCCTCCAGGTGTTTTGGACTCCAGCTCCCACCATTCCCAACAGCCAGTAGGGCCCTCCCTCCAGGTGTTTTGGACTCCAGCTCCCACCATTCCCAACAGCCAGTAGGGCCCTCCCTCCAGGTGTTTTGGACTCCAGCTCCCACCATTCCCAACAGCCAGTAGGGCCCTCCCTCCAGGTGTTTTGGACTCCAGCTCCCACCATTCCCAACAGCCAGTAGGGCCCTCCCTCCAGGTGTTTTGGACTCCAGCTCCCACCATTCCCAACAGCCAGTAGGGCCCTCCCTCCAGGTGTTTTGGACTCCAGCTCCCACCATTCCCAACAGCCAGTAGGGCCCTCCCTCCAGGTGTTTTGGACTCCAGCTCCCACCATTCCCAACAGCCAGTAGGGCCCTCCCTCCAGGTGTTTTGGACTCCAGCTCCCACCATTCCCAACAGCCAGTAGGGCCCTCCCTCCAGGTGTTTTGGACTCCAGCTCCCACCATTCCCAACAGCCAGTAGGGCCCTCCCTCCAGGTGTTTTGGACTCCAGCTCCCACCATTCCCAACAGCCAGTAGGGCCCTCCCTCCAGGTGTTTTGGACTCCAGCTCCCACCATTCCTAACAGCCGGTAGGATCCTCCCTCCAGGTGTTTTGGGCCCCCCTCCAGGTGTTTTGGACTCCCAACTCCAACCAGTCCCAACAGCTGGTAGGCTGTGAGGAATGGTGGGAGTTGGAGTCCAAAACCCCTGGAGGGGAGGGGCCAAGTTGACCCAGGCCTGCTCTAGAGAGTTATGTTTACTACACTAGGCTTTTCATATAAGCCGCTTTGAGTCTCTTTGAAGAGGAAAAGCAGGGTATAGGTAAAGGTAAAGGTTTTCCCCTTGACATTAAGTCCAGTTGTGTCCAACTCTGGGGGTTGGTCCTCATCTCCATTTCCAAGCCAAAGAGCGACCACCGTTCCATGGTGTGTAATCATGAATTGTGTAGTTTTGCAAGGTCTCTAGCTTCTCTGCCAGAGTGCTAAGGCATGCATGGGCAAACTTCAGCCCTCCAGGTGTTTTGGACTTCAACTCCCACAATTCGTAACAGCTTACCAGCGATTAGGAATTGTGGGAGTTGAAATCCAAAACACCTTGAGGGCAGAGGTTTGCTCATGCTTGTGCTAGGACCTCATATAACTAGACATCCCATACCAATGAGCCATGGCAGTTAAAGTGGGTCCCAACTGCATTAACTCTACAGTGTGGACACTTGTACGCTCTTTGTTATCACCAAATTTTTCCACCTCGACTGGTGTAGAACTGGGTCACCTATATCCACTATAGGATGGTCCTAGTGTGGGCTATCTGGGTCAGATCCCCTATGAGGGCCAGCCATTCCTCATCCTAAGTGAGAACTCCAAGGGGAAGCAGGAAACCCATGTTTGACGGAGGCTGTGTCTTGCTTTGGGTGTTTAGGTCTGGACTTGTCCGGCTGCTTCCTCGCTCACCATTCCCTGGCGTCTCCCCTGCCGTGGAGACCTGGCCCCCCCTGCAAGATGAAGAGGGTCCGCACCGTCTTCACCCCGGAGCAGCTGGAGCGCCTGGAGAAGGAGTTCCTCAAGCAGCAGTACATGGTGGGCACCGAGCGGGTGGACCTGGCCGCCAACCTCCACCTGACGGAGACCCAGGTGAGCCAACGGAAGCCCGGATGCCCCAAACAAAGCTGCCTCCCTCCAGTCTTAGCATCCTTTGGGCATGTTTTGGTGAGGATAGGAAAGATGGCTGCTTCTAGGCTGTGGAACTCCCTGCCTCTGGAAACTGGTCTGGAAACTTGACTGGACCCTTTGCAGGCTTTTGTGGGTCTTCTAATGGGGTCTTTGAGTGGCCACAAAACTGGCCTTGAAGGCTGTGTGTTGGCCCCCTCCCTTCAGAGCCAGGCTTTAAAAATTATTCTACTTGGAGGCCAGGTCAATATCTATCTTATGCTATCTATCTATCTATCTATGGATGGATCTATAGTGGAAAATAATGAAGCTTGTACTATACTTGGAGGCTGGGTCATTTTGTTTTGGAAGTGAAGGGAAATCTGCTTTCCATCTATCCAATCTATTTACCTCTCTACCTGGATCTACACTGGCAGATAATGCAGTTTGTTCTATACTTGGAGGCCAGGTCATTTTTTTTTAGAAGTGAAGGGAAACCTGTTATCGATCTTATTGTTGTTATATTTCTTATCTCCCCTTATCCTATCCTACCCTATTCTATCTTATCTAGCTTTCTTCCGTACTTATCTAGCGCTGGATCTACTGTCCCAAATAATGCAGTTTGTTCTACACTTGGAGGCCAGGTCATTTTTTTTGGAAGTGAAGGGAAACCTGTTATCGATCTTATAGGGTTAGGGTTATTTGACAATGTGGAATGAATTACGGACTCTGAGATGGCGAACGCTGAGTATTAGATTGTTTTTATTGATGTATACACTGACTGTCTTAATTGTTATAATTGCTGTTTACATGCTTTATCCATTGTTATGTTTATGTTGGCATCAAATTGTGCCTTTGTAAGCCGCCCTGAGTCCCCCCTCGGGGGTTGAGAAAGGCGGGGTAGAAATACGCTAAATAAATAAATAAATAAATTCTTATCTTACCTTATCTTTCTTATCTCCCCTTATCGTTCTTATATTTCTTACCTCCCCTTACCTTTCTTATTGTTCTTATCGTTCTTATCTCCCCTTTCTTATCATTCTTATCTTTCCTATCGCTTATCTTACTTATCGTTTTTATCTTACTTATCTCCCCTTATCTTTCTTATTGTTCTTATCTATCTTATCATTCTTATCTTTCTTACCTCCCCTTATCGTTCTTATCTTACTTATCGTTCTTATCTTTCTTATCTCCCCTTATCTCTCTTATCTTCTTATCTATCTTATCTTTCTTATCATTCTTATCTTTCTTACCTCCTCTTATCATTCTTACTTTATCGTTCTTATGTTTCTTGTCATTATCTTTCTTGTCATTCTTAACTTTCTTATCATTCTTATCTTTCTTACCTCCCCTTATCTTTCTTATCTCCCTTTACCTTTCTTATCTTTCTTATCTTCCCTTTCTTATTGTTCATATCTACTTATCGTTCTTATCTTTCTTATTGTTCTTATCTTTCTTATCATTCTTATTTTCTTGTCATTCTTATCTTTCTTATCGTTCTTATCTTACTTATCGTTCTTATCTTTCTTATCTCCCCTTATCTCTCTTATCTTCTTATCTATCTTATCTTTCTTATCATTCTTATCTTTCTTACCTCCTCTTATCATTCTTACTTTATCGTTCTTATGTTTCTTGTCGTTATCTTTCTTGTCGTTCTTAACTTTCTTATCATTCTTATCTTTCTTACCTCCCCTTATCTTTCTTATCTCCCTTTACCTTTCTTATCTTTCTTATCTTCCCTTTCTTATTGTTCATATCTACTTATCGTTCTTATCTTATTGTTCTTATCTTTCTTATCATTCTTATTTTTCTTGTCATTCTTATCTTTCTTATCGTTCTTATCTTACTTATCTTTATTGTTCTTGTCTATCTTATCTCTTCTTATCATTCTTATCTTTCTTACCTCCCCTTATCTTTCTTATCGTTCTTATTTTTCTTATTTTTTATCTCCCTTTACCTTTCTTATCTTTCTTATTGTTATTATCTATCTTATCTTTCTTATCAGTCTTATCTTTATCATTCTTATCTTTCTTATCTTTGTTATCGTTCTTATCTTTCTTATCACCTCTTATCTTTCTTATCGTTCTTACCTTTCTTATCGTTCTTATCTTTCTTATCGTTCTTACCTTATTGTTCTCATTGTTCTTATTGTTCTTATCTTTCTTATTAGTCTTATTTCCCCTTATCTTCCCTTATCCTATCCTATCCTATCTTATCTATCTGTCTTCTGTACTTACTATCACAGAATCTACAGTCTGAAACAATGCAATTTGCGCTATATTTGGAGTTCGGGACATTTTTGTGGGGGGGGGGGGGAAATGAACAGAAATCTGTTTTCTCTTTTTCTACCTATCTACATATCCATCTACCATTTTTATCTATGGGTGGATCTATAGTGCCAAATAATGCAGTTTGTGCTATACTTTGAGGCCAGGTTATATTTTTTTGGAAGTGAAGGGAAATCTTTTTGTTTTAATCTGTCTGTCTTGACTGTCTATCATCTCTTTATCTATTTATCTTATTTTCTCTATCTATCTATGGCTGGATCTGCACTGCCAAATAATGGAGTTTGTACCATAATTGGCGACCTGGTCATTTTTTGGAAGGAAATCTTTTCTCTTGTTGAAGGCTTTCATGGCTGGAATCACTGGGTTGTTGTGGGTTTTTTTGGGCTATATGGCCATGTTCTAGAGGCATTCTCTTCTGACGTTTCGCCTGCATCTATGGCAAGCATCCTCAGAGGTTGTGAGGTCTGTTGGAACTAGGAAAAAGGGTTTATATATCTGTGGAATGACCAGGGTGGGGCAAAGGACTCTTGTCTGCTGGAGCTAGGTGTGAATGTTTCAACTGACCACCTTGATTAGCATTTGATTGCCTGGCAGGGCCTGGAGCAATCTTTTGTTGAGAGGTGATTAGATGTCCTTGTTTGTTTCCTCTCTGTTGTTGTGCTGTTCTAATTTTAGAGGTTTTTTAATACTGGTAGCCAGATTTTGTTCATTTTCAAGGTCTCTTCCTTTCTGTTGAAATTGTCCACATGCTTGTGGATTTCAGTGGCTTCTCTGTGTAGCCTGACATGGCGGTTATGAGAGTGGTCCAGCATTTCTGTGTTCTCAAATCATATGCTGTGTCGAGGTTGGTTCATCAGGTGCTCTGCTATGGCTGATGTGCTGGTACAGCTGTACCAGGAGCTCCAACTTTATTTTCTTTCTGTTATCTGTTTGCAGTCATAGGACAGGCCTCCTGTCCATCATAATTAAGCTTTGCTTCCGCCCCTTGTTTAGGGCTCTGGGAGGGAAAGGAGCCATTTTTTGGGCAGTCTCTCATAAGGAAGCTAAACTATAGGACTTAGACCAGCTCGTCCCGTAGAAAAGCTTCTTTTCTCAAGAACATCTGGGGAAACAGAAACAGAAATTCCAGGGGAAAGGTCCCAAGGCTCTGGCTGAGAGCTCACAGCCTCACAGCAATGAGAGGGAAAACAGCCCTGAAGTTTTCAAAGAATTCTCTGAGGGAGGACAGCATTACAGATCCACGGAACTCCAGCTGAAATATCTTCAAGCCTTGGCTGGTAGGTCTACTCGATACCCAGACACATTTGGAATTGGTAGTAGGACCCACACCGATGAGGTATAGATAGTAAACAGCCTGGGAGAGGTTAAATAGGGTTTTTTCCTACAGAGAAAGTACAGTTAATTAAAGTCAGGTGCCAGTCCATTGAGGACTAGACTAAGAAAGCCTTGAAGTGTTGTTTGAACCATTGAAGATTTGTTGTTTGTTCCATAATAAAGACTTTGTTGTATCATTAAAGACTCTAAAGACCATCACTTCAGAAAAATCCCTGAGAACCTCTCTGAGAACGTGCGACAGAACAGCTGACCTCTGAATACAGAAAATGCTGTGTTTTCTGGTGGTCTTTGGTGACCCCTCTGACACCCCTTTGCAACCCACCCAGGGGTCCCAACCCCTAGGTTGAGAAATGCTGCTCTAAAAAGAGACTCAGAGCATGTTGGATGTGGGTGGTTGTGCATGTATGTCGGTGCCATGTGCTCCAATCTTAGCTGCTGCTTTTATTTCTTCTCCTGGAAGGTGAAGGTTTGGTTCCAGAATCGGCGCATCAAGTGGCGCAAGCAAAGCCTGGAGCAGAAGGAGGCGAAGCGGGCGCCTCGAGGGACACCACCACCACCAGCTACCTCTGAAGAAAAGGACAGTGGTGAAAATGACATTGAAGTTGAGGATTAGCCCTTGATCTTCGTCCTGGACTGGACTGGGGAGACCAAGTGGCTCTCTTGGCATTACTATATCCATATTCTGAACTGCTTTGGGATCCTTTCTAGAACAAAGGAGGAAGAGTGGTTTAGGGTTTGACATGAATTCCTGGAGAATTCCAGGGATCGGTGTTTAAGGCTTCCTTCTGCATGCCGTGTATGCGCCTCTACCTCTTCTGAGTGGCCTTCTTTACTCACTACTTTCAATGAAGTCTTCAGCCATGGACAGGTGAGCCGAAAACTCAGGAAATATTGAGAGATAGACCTTGTTGTCCTTTGAATGAATACCTTTGCAGGTTCAGAGAAATATCTCTTGCAGGATGCTGGCATGTGAAGTGATTTATAGTTTCCAAATGGTGACCTCCCTGAACCATTGGACGCTGGATAGCAAATGTCCCAGAAGCAAGCAAAGTACAACAGGGTTCTTCTGTAGCTAAAAGCATGCTTCAAGCCCATCTATCAGCAGAATCCAACTGCCAGCATCTGACTTTATCTACACACTGTTTAGTAACTCACAGATTCAAGTTTTCATCCTAAATATCTGGAGACTCATCGGTGTGGGTCCTACTACCGATTCCAAATGCATCTGGGTATCGAGTAGGCCTACCAGCCAAAGACTTGTAGATATTTCAGCATCTTCACAGTTGCATATATACAAAAATATACAAGCAGGATACGCAGGTCCACTTTCCTTATACTTACAAACAATCAGTCACGGGATAGTCACATAATGATGATGATGATGATGATGATAATAATAATAATAATAAAGCATATACAACGGACAACAACAACATTATCAAAATGACATTAAAATAATAATAATAATAATAATAATAATAATAATAATAATAATAATATAAAAATTCCAATAGACACAATCACAATAGAGATGACAATGAGCGGGCCACATATTCCAAATAAAAACAATTAACAGACTATGATGAGATAAAATAGGAGGAGATAAAATAAGGGGGGGGGGGGGAAGAGGACCCCAAAATTACCATTCATTCAGTCTGGCATTGATATCAGGAACAATTCTGGAGCAGATCATAGAATTGGAAGAGACCTCATAGGTCATCCAATCTAACCTCATTATGCCAAGAAACAGGAAAATCACATTTAAACACTCCTTGACAGATGGCCATCCAGACTCTTATTTGAAAGCCTCCAAAAGAAGGAGCCTCCGCCACACTCCAGGGCAGAGAGTTCCACTGCTGAACAGCTCTCACAGTTAGGAAGTTCTTCCTAATGTTCAGGAGGAATCTCCTTTCCTGTCGCTTGAAGCCATTGTTGTGTATCCTAGTCCTCAGGGCAGCAGAAAACACACTTCAATCAAAACTTTATTTCTACCCCGCCACCATCTCCCCGATGGGGACTCGGAGTGGCTTACATGGAGCCAAGCCTGGACAACATAATACAGCAATAAAATCAAAGCATATACAACAACAACATTATCAAAATGACATTAAAATAATAATAATAATAATAATAATAATAATAATAATAATAATAATAATAATATAAAAATTTCAATAGACACACAATAGAGATGACAATGGGCGGGCCACACATTCCAAATAAAAACAATTAACAGACTATAATGAGATAAAATAGGAGCAGGATGTTTAAATGGAACTCATAAAACACACAGGGTTGTGGGACATACAACATAGGCAAATACTCACACTGAGTCACAGAGGAGATAGAAAGATGGATTCTTTCATCCTCCTTATATAACCACCTGCCAGTAAGGGACACTTGCTGATGCTTACTTACTTACTTAGGCGATCCCTTGTTGGTGTCGTGTTGCCATATCTCCACCTTATTTAGGTAGAGATTAACCAAACTCCCAGGTTTATCAAACAGTTTAATTAAAACAGCACTTACTTGCTGGCTGTTTTTATAGTCCAAAATATAAAACACAAAGATAGCACACAGCTACAGAATAAGCAAAAACTGATAGCAAAAATAACTTTGTAGTCAAAAGGGTCCAGTCCAATGGTCAAATGCCGAGAGTTCAATAAACAAAGTCAAGGGACCAAGAGTCTATACTGTAGTCAAAAGTCAGTCCAAAGGTTCAAGGATTCCAAGATTACAGGAGACAGGTCAGGATACCGAAAATCCAACAGACCTGGGGGGAAAACCAGCAGCATCCACCACCTAACAGATACTTTCCTCCCAAAGATCAGTCTCAAGGTTAGCTCCTTAAATCTAGCCACACCCAGCTGCAACCCATCTCCTGCACACCTTCACCCTAATTGCTTTCACCCATGAACTCCCACTTACAGATTACCAAGCCCTCTAGAACAGTGGTTCTCAACCTGGGGTCCCCAGATGTTTTTGGCCTTCAACTCCCAGAAATCCTAAAAGCTGGTAAACTAGCTGGGATTTCTGGGAGTTGTAAGCCAAAAACATCTGGGGACCCCAGGTTGAGAACCACTGCTTTAGAACTAATACTCACATTAACCCTTTCATCACCAACATCAACTGCAGAACATATGACAGTTAGCCGAGTAGGATAGTCTTCCAGGATCAGTGTCCTGGTGGGTCCGTAGGTGACTGTGGAGCCCTATTCTTGACCTGCATCTTCTCCCGCAGTGAGGGCATTAGTTACCAGGTGGAAGGCGGTCTCGGTCGGGATTGGCTTAACGCACCTTCCTCTTGGCATGTTTCTTTCTTTCGCCCTCCATTCGTGCCTCTTCAAATTCTGCAGTGTGCTGACATATGGGAGTTGTAGTTGCTGGGATTTATAGTTCACCTACAATTAAAGAGCATTCTGAACTCGACCAATGATGGAATTTAACCAAACTTGGCACACAGAACTCCCATGACCAATAGAAAATACTGGAAGGGTTTGGTGGGCATTGACCTTGAGTTTTGGAGGGGTCTCCTATTCCCCCCATTGGCCACCTAGAGATCATGCTTCAAAGCCCACTGCCCCTCTCTTTCATCCTGGGATCAATATCATTGGCACCCTCTTGCCCCTTGTTAGCCCCTTTCTAAAGTATGTGTTTATTTGGGGGGGGGGGTGGTTCTGTCCTGCCAGCCCTACATTCTCTTCTGTTCTCAATGGTTCCCCAAGTGCATTCATTTCATCAGGCCGAGGCTACTGTGCGACTCTGCAATCTCAGGGAAATCCCTTCTTTCTTCCGCTCTTCTCCTTTTCCTGCTTCTGAACAGAAAAGTACAGCATTGTAAAATAGTCCGCCAAATGATATTTATTTATTTAGAAGTATGTAGTTTGTTATGAAAACCAAACATCTGAAACTTAATTTATTTTTTTAATTGTGGCCTTTTTTGTGTACCTTATTAAAATCTAGTTTGTAGAAAATGAAAAAAAAAGCAAGTGTGAAGGTTCTTATTTGGGGGTCCCCTGTTTGGTGGTGGTGGTGGTGGGGAGGGTTGGCTAATATGTGGGGGAGGAGGGGAGAGGGAGGAATAATAATAATAATAATATAAAAATAATAAAATAAAAATAATTTGCCAAAATTGAAAAGTTGACGACAGGTCCCAAGTGTATACTCTGCAAGGAAGCAGATGAAAAAGAAAGCAGACCTCACTACCTCTGAGGATGCTTGCCATAGATGCAGGCGAAACGTCAGGAGAAAATGCCTCTAGAACATGGCCATATAGCCTGAAAAAACCTACAACCACCCAGTGATTCCGGCCATGAAAGCCTTCGACAATACAGATGAAACAATAGATCCCATCCTGAGCTGCTGCAAGAAGATCGCACAGACGGACTACAAGCAGAGGCACAACACCGTTGCTCAGATGATTCATTGGAACTTGTGCCACAAACCCCATCTGCCTGCGACAAAGAACTGGTGGAGCACAAGCCTGAAAAAGTTACAGAGAATGAACACATCAAACTCCTCTGGGACTTCCAAATTCAGACAGACAGAGTTTTGGAGCACAAGACTCATGACCTCACGATCGTGGGAAAAAATAAAGTATGGATTGTGGATGTTGCAATCCCAGGTGACAGCAGGATTGAAGTGAAACAACTGGAAAAGCTGACACAATATGAGGAATTAAAGATTGAACCACAAAGACTCTGGCACAAGCCAGTTGAGGTGGTCCCAGTGGTGATTGGCACACTGGGTGCAGTGCCTAAAGACCTTGGCCTGCACTTAAACACAATCGGCACTGACAAAATTACCATCTGCCAGCTGCAGAAGGCCACCTTACTGGGATCTGCACACATTATTTGCCGATACATCACACAGTCTTAGACACTTGGGAAGTGTCCGACGTGTGAGCCAATGCAACAGCCAGCAGAGTGATCTTGTTTGCTGTGTGCTCATCTTTTTGTGTTTCTAATAATAATAATAATAATAATAATAATAATAATAATAATAATAATAATAGAAGAAGAAGAAGTCATCTCTGGCATAAACCAGCACAGGTGGTCCCAGTGGTCATCAGCGCACTGGGTGTCATGCCAAAATATCTCAGCTGGCATTTGGAAACCATAAACATTGACAAAATCACGATCTGTCAACTGCAAAAGGCCACCTGACTTGGATCTGCACGCATCATTCGAAAATACATCACACAGTCCTAGACGCTTGGGAAATGTTCGACTTGTGATCCAGCATATAGAGCTCGTTTGCTGTGACATACTGTGTTTTTGTGTCACTAAAATAATAATAATAATCTATATAAATAAAAATGTAATGTTCGTTTGTGGGACTAACAAAACTCAAAAACCACTGGACGAATTGACACCAAATTTGGACACAAGACACCTAACAACCCAAGGTTCACTCAAAGAAATTGATTTTCTCATTTGGGAGTTGTAGTTGCTGGGATTTATAGTTCACCTACAAAGTGCATTCTGAACCCCACCAACGATAATAATAATAATAATAATAATAATAATAATAATAATAATAATAATAATGTTGTTGTTGTTCATTCATTCAGTCGTCTCCGACTCTTCGTGACCTCATGGACCAGCCCACGCCA